GGAATCTGCATTTCAACAAGTCCCTCAGATGACACGTGAGCACACCAAAGCGGATACACCATGAAACTAATGAACCTTAAGCTTCAGGGTCCCTCACTTGCACAGGCCCTTTCCAACCCCCTAGCGATTTTGTTTTGTGATTTTTGTTTTTTTAAGGAACTCTCCCAGAATTGCATTAGATCCCACAAATCATAGATCTGCTCTTGGTAGGGTAAGGGGAAACCAATTAAGGTTTTCTGAGCAGAAGCACAAGACTTCCAGGCACAATTTTCAAACTGGAAGGGTCAGCAAGATTCCAGACCAATGTATCGAAGCTGCGCTTGAGAAAAATGCAGCAGCCAGGAGCAGAACACGTTTAGTGGCTCACGCCTGTAATCCTAGCACTTTGGGAGGCTGAGGCGGGGAAATCACTTGAGCCCAGGAGTTGGAAACCAGCCTGAGCAAAAGTGAGACCCTGTCTCTACTAGAAATAGAAAATTTAGCTGGCATGGTGTGCCTGTAGTCCCAGCTACTTGGGAGGCTGAGGCAGAAGGATCGCTTCAGCCCAGGAGTTGGAGGTTGCAGTGAGCTAGGATGATGCCAACTGCACTCTACCCGGGGCCACAGAGTAAGACTCCGCCTCAAAAAAACAAACAAAAACCCACCCAAACACATTAGTAACAACCTTAACAGAAAAGGTGAGAGAGGGTGGTCCCGAGAACTGGGGCCACTGGGGTCTAAGAGACTGGCTGGTACCTTGACAGAAAAAGGGGAAGAAGGGTAGGCTTCGTTTTGGGTTGGGGAGAAAGTGCCAGCGGGTGAGGCGGGAACCCAGCGAAGCAGTCCAATCCACCTTCCTTCTGCTCCTCCCTACAAACACCCAGGAAGGAGCTGAAGAGAGTTCTCCGAAAAGGAACCAAAGGTCAAGATAAGCCCTGAACGCTGAGCCTGAGCCTGGACTCACACCCGCAGGCGTGTTGGGGCCACACGCGGGCTGAGGCCCGCCCCCTGCCTTCTAGGGCCAGGGCACCTCACGGAGCACCCCGGCAGGAGGGCGGACTCCGAGCAGAGCCCTTGGGGGTGCAGCTGTGGAAGAGAGGGGCGGGGGTCCGGCCCGTCCCCCCCGCCGCGGTCTCACCACGCGCTCCCAGCTCGCCGGCCGCTACGTGCTCGGTAAGCACGGCCCCAAAACGTTGCAGCCGCGACACGATCCTCTCGTACAGCTCCCGGTCCTGACGTCCGCCGCGGATGCTCCCGCAGAAGTACAGGGCTAGGCGGCCGGACTCGCCCGGCTGCCCCGGCTGCCCGCGCTCCCGCACTCCAGCCGCCGCCATCTTGGCCGCCGCCGCGCACTCGCCCGCGCCAGGGGGCGCCAGGCCGCGGCCACGTGACCCCGCCCGGCTGCGCGGCGTCCCCCTGCTCCTGCGCGTCCGCACGTGTGGAATGGGGCCGGCAAGTGGGGAGGATCCAACCGGAACCCTCCTGGGACCCACCACTCCCGGAGTTGACTTTCGATGCCTAATATGCATCTTAACTTTAATTTGTCCCGGCGGGGCTCAAGGTCTTCCCCACCTCACCGGCTTCTGCTCCCCTCATCTCCGCAGTCCTCCCCAGCTCAGGTAAAGACCACTGCAACCTCCCAGCAGCTCAGGCCCAAAACCTTGGAGTCGTCCTGGGCCCTTCTCTTTCTCTCAAACCCTACCTCCAATCCTTTGGCAACTGCTGTGGGTTCTCCCTTCCAAATCTGCCGCCCACCACCTCCACTGCCACCACCCTCGGCTGAGCCTCCTTTCTGAGGAGCAGAAAGAAGGTGGATTGGACTGCTTCGCTGGGTTCCCGCCTCACCCGCTGGCACTTTCTGCCCAACCCAACAGCCTCCTGGCAGGTCTCCCCTTTCACTACTACGGCCTGCTGTCCGCTCAGCAGCCAGAGCAACCCTGTGAGCACGAGTCAGAGCGTGACCCTCCTCTGCTCAGAACGCTCCAGTGGCCTCAGCTCACTTGGGGTAAAAAGCGAAAATCCCACAGTGGCCCACAAGGCCCCAGATGATCTGGTCTCCTCCCTGTTACCTTCCTAACTCCAGCTGCCATTACTCTTGCTCACCTTTCTGGCGCCAGGCTGGCCTCCTGGCTGTTCCTCAAGCATGCCAGCCATGCCCTTGCCTCAGAGCCATTGCATTGGCCGTTCTTTCTGCCTGGAACCCTGTTCTCCCAGGTAGCTTCCTGGCTCCCTCCTCACCTCCTCCAAGTCTTTGTTCGCAGTTCACCTTCCCTGACCACCCTATTCAATATGGCAGCCCCCATCCCCCGGTTATCTCCCTTCCCTCTCATTCTCATGTGCCATATAACATATTAATTTTGTTGTATGTCTTTCCATGCCCAATCAAATGTAATTCCCAGGAGGGCAGCAATTGTTATCGCTTTTGCTCACTGCTGTATCTCCAGCTTCTAGAACTGTGGCTGGCACATAGGAAACATTTATCAAATGTTTGTTGAATGAATGAATGGTTTAAATGAGAGGATGCATTTGACAGCACTTTGTAATCTGCTCTGCCCTTCAGTAAGTAGGCTGCTAGAAGCAATATCTCCAGGGAGACAGACAGACATGCGTTGCTCACGAGTAGTAGTATTTATTTCCCCTTATTCGATTATGATAGTAACAAATATGTGACAAGAAATTCAAATGGAACAAGAGGGT